CAACAGTTAATCTCCGTGTGCAGAGCAGGGTGAAGACAATGAGGGGCGCTGGAGCGTGCTCAAGGCACATGAAGCTGCATGGAGAGGGTGCAGGTCTCCAGGCACCAATCCTGCTGTGTTGGGGTGGTGCAGCCTTGGGGCCTTGATCCCAGTGCCTGGGGCTGGGCAGAGGTGATGCAGGACTCCAGGGACCCCAATCCAGGCATATAGGGGTGGGCAGAGGCAGCATGCATTGCTGGGCCCCAATTCTGATACATGGGTCTGGGCAGAACCAGTGAAGAGACCTGAGGCCTGACCCCAGTGTGCAGGGGGCCCAGGGCCCAATCCAGGTGTGCAGGGGCAGCATGGATCCTGATCCTGGCACAGGGGGCCAACTTGGACTGCAGACTAGCCCCACACCATTCATCTAGCCCTCAGGGCCAAAACATTGAGCCACCACTGCTCTAAAGGAGACATCTGGGTGTCTGTACTGCATTCAGAAATGTAATTTGCAGCAAGTACAAACATAGTTGAGCTAGATTTCATCTAGGTAGCCTGGTACTGATACCAGTGAAACCATGGTGACTAGATTAAATCTAGCTCAGGTCCATACTGCAATCACACCTCTGACTTCAAGTGTTCCTGCCCCTCTGATTGCACATGCCATATTTACCTAGCTCTAAGACAACCTTGAATTTAAGATGACACTTACCTTCCTTCCCCACAGTGCCTGCCCTCCCACAGCCACTATTTCCTCCTATTCTTCCCCCAGCTACTGCTTACCCTATGCAATGACTTTGGCTCTGGCTTCAGCCCCTGACACGGGGCATGTGATGGCTCCAGCTTCAATCAGGCAGTGGAAGCAGTTCCAGCCTTAGCCCAGGGCTGGGGTCAGGCCCAGAGCTGCAGGAGCTCCCTTGCACTTCCCCACCTCTCCCATGCTCTCCTCACCCTGCACAATGCAATCTCCCCCACACTTCTCCCTATGCTCCCCCTACACTCTCCCCACTGTGCACCACATGATACTCCCTGGGTCAGAAGCCAGAGTTGGAGCTGCAGCAGCTGCCTGCCCTGACCTGGTACTCAAATCTAAGATGAGGTTTCTTTTTATTTCCCCTGTTGAATGCAGGGAAAAAAAACTTGTCTTAGTTGGATAAATATGGTATTATGCAGCAGTGCGTGTACTGCTGTTTTCTGTCAGATAATTAATCTGGATGGAATTAATTTTTTTTCCCCCATACAAAAATCCTATATTAAAAAAAAAAAAGTTAAAGTTGCAGTATAAAGAGTACACAAGTTAGAATGCAAAGGTTAAGATTGCTTGCACATCCTATACTTTGCATTTTTTTGTATGTGTATGACAATGATCTTTAATATCACACTGTTGCCCACCCTCATGATTTTATTACATCTCCAGCAATATTTGACATTTTCCTAAAGTCCCAGCTCTGGATACCATATAATTTCATAAACATTTTTTATTTAACTGTTTTTAAAAGTACATTTTAGGCCTCAAGTTTATGGAAGAAAGCTGGAAAATGTGAATTGAGCGTTCCCTAAAGATTCTGTTAAACAGGGCCTAAAATCTTTTTTTTTTTTTACAGCCTCATGGTTGTTAAGTTCGGTCGCATCTTCTTTTGGGCCTGGCTCATTGGTTTTGAATGTGCTGGTTTGGCAATATTGATTACAGTATCACATATTGTTCTCTCAGGACTCCAGTCTCCTTTAGTGCACTAGTCTGACAGAGTGGAGGAACATTGCTGGGTGGATCCCAGTCTCTCTTTAGTTTAGTGAAGGACTGGTGTCTTTATCATCCTTGTGTCATGCACTCCAGATGTTTTATGATGTTTAATGAAGGGGTATGCTAGAAGAGGAAAAATCCTGGAGCTAAGGCTCTGTGCTGAACCCACAAGGTTTAAGTTCTATTACACCAACTCTTAACAGAGGACTTGTAACAGCTTGGGAAATCTGAACCTTTGTGTCTCCATCTTTAAAATGGGAAAGGTAATACTTCATAGAGCCATTGAAGGTGTGCAGATGGATGGAACTTTCTGTAAGCTAATTTTTTAAATATTGGAACCTTATCTTGCAGCAAGTTTTGTTTTGCTCTGTGCAAAATTTTTCTCTGAAGAAAAACAAGTTTGCCTTGCTTGGAGCATGCAGCTTCTAGAGTCAGATGAACAAAGGTGAAATGAACAAATTAGGAAAAGCATTTCAGCAGGGAATTAGTGTGTTAGGATTCTTTTGTCAGTGGTGGAAAGTGTAACGGTCATGCAAGCTATTACTCATTTATTCATATTCACCTTTGAGTGCCTCAGTAGCAGGGAGTTGACTTTCATTGATTGATTTCTGAATGATTTGTTTGTTACTTGGTTTCTGTAGTATGGGAAAGACATCCTCTTTGGTTATGTGTTCTAAAACATTAGCAGTTTGTTGTTCCAGAATGTTAGTGAAACCTTGGCAGCAAATCAGAGCAGTGGAGTAAGCAGCCTAACTAGGACAGCAAAGGCATTGTTCTGCTGCTCACTGAAGGAAGTCCTTTTAATGACTGACTGTTGGCTCTGCACCAAAAGCACCTTATTGGGGCTTCATTTGGATGCAAGGATAATGTTGTCAAAGCAATTAAAGAACAAGAGCAGAATATAAAAGAGCAAGGCTTATGAGAAAGTTGTATTTTTTGCTTACAAGCAGCGATAATTAAATGCTGGAAAAAAGCCACCACTAAGAAAACCAGACCACTGTTTAAACAGTGATAAAGGTCTGATTTCAAATGACCAAAGCATTTAGAGTAAAAGTGGACTCTGTCTTGATATGTCCAGTGTGGCACACACTAGTTATGTCAGGGCCTTATTACACATTGTACTTTGAGCTGCTCATCTATTGATCAGTGTTAGGTCAAGTTTGGCGCAGTCACACCTTAAAGCCAAATACCTTCTCTGACTGTCCCTACCTACACAGTGTGACTTGCCACTAGAGGATTGGTGAGCAAGGGTCTGACTAGGAGCTCCAGCTGTGAGTTGCCACTACAGGGCTGGTGAGCCAGGACAGGCTTTTATCCCTGGTTGGGGGAGGGGAGGGCAGGGATGAAGCTGGAAGGTGGACAATTACTACAACAGGGGTGGGGGAAGAGTGGTGAAATGAAGGAAATCAGTCACTGAAAGATAAAATAAAAAGTAAAAAAAGAAAATTAAAAAGAAATAAAGAGGAAGTAAATTAAAGAAGGTCTTGTGTTTTAATTGGGATTTGGCATTTGCATGTGGGGGGTGCTGGTCATCCTTCCCAGGGTGGCTGGGAAGTGGGATTGGTGAGGCAAGACACTTTTGGGGAAGCTACTACTTTGGCTTCAGGAAAGAAGCCCCAGCTCATGGAGACCAAATCTAGTCCCCTACCTTGTTCTGCCCTCACCCCCAGATGCTACTCCTGGACCTGTCCATGCCCTGCAGCCTGGCTATCTGGCATGTTCTCTGCAGGCTGTTTGTGTGGGGTTGCACCCCTGCGGGTGGGAAGGTTGGACCCCCAGGGCCGGGGGGGCAGGGGCTGGCTTGGTACCAGCACTGCCTCCAGGGCGGTAGAGTTCAGGGGTGTACACAGAACAGGGGAGTGAGGGAGGGGACACTACATCCTGGGATGCTGGAGCACTGCAACTTAGGCAGTTCATCTGTGGGGAGTGGCCACACACTAATGAAACATGAGCTGGGTAACGTGGATCAGAGATAAACCTTCCCTGAGTAGCATAACTTTAAGCCTCCTAAAGTGTGCTTCATATTAGTTTCAGGTTAGTGTGGACAATCCAGGGGTTAAGAGCTCCAAGAGCATCTAAAATGATTGTGTAACAAGGCCCTAGGAACAGTGCATGATACACTGAGGGCACTGAAGCAAAGATAAAATGTAAAAGAAGGTTTGAGAAAAACCTTAACTTTAAATTTCTTCTTTACATTAGTCAAAGTTCATAATATTTTGTTTGATCTCTTTCATGCTCAACCATGATGTATTTCATGACAGTATCTTCAAGTACCTACATTTCAATCAATACCCTGTTGCTTAAGTCTTCTATTTGCAGTGTGCCTTGGTGCTTTTTGATGCAACTTCAAATCACTATAGGATGCATTGAAATAAGAAGAGTAAAGTTGTTAATACCAAAGTTTGACATGATTTGTTAAGCTGAGGTACGATATTGAATTGGAGTTGTCATGCATGCAGGGATGCATAGCTTTAGGTAATGGGAAAAAAAAAACAACCTTAATACTTTTTACCAAAACTTTATAACTATGAGGTGGGAAAATTAACCTTTTCTTTACCTCTTTGCTTTCTTTCCAATTATTATTTTAACTTTTTAAAAAATTAACATTATGATCTTAAACATAAATCCTAGACTTCTTCTCTTGACATTTTTGGTATAAAAATAGAATGAGCATTGTAGTTCATTATATTATATCTTACTGGTTTTACTTACTTTCATTTTTTAAAAAATATTTCATCCCTAAACCCACATTTTGTATTGGCATTCTCTGCTTTCCCTGAATGAATGTTTATTTTCACTCTGTTACCTGCAAATTAATAATAGTGAAAATTCTGATTTGGAGGTTGTAAAATTATTGGGGTTTTGATAATCTAATTTCTGAAGTCATCTTTTTTATTTGTTATTGAATGTCTAGGTTCTGTTGTCACTGTGGTCTCTGTCTGAAGGCTTTAGCTAGCATCTATTATGACTTTATTATCTATCATTACTTTTTATTAAAAAGTGTGAATAATTTTAAAATTCAACAGTTGTAAAATGCTTTTACATTAATAGCTAAAGCTGTGTCTACACACACAATTCTAGTTTGTGAGTATTCTGATGTATGAAGATTTTGATATCCATCTGACCAGCCTTATTATATTCATTGTAGTAAGTGGTTTGTAAATATTTAATATGCCCTAAAACCACAACTTCATAAATAAATAAATGAGCTTATCTATTGTTTCTGGTCATGTTTTTTACCATCTGAAACTAATTATGTTTCTTTCTTTATGTTTTAAAGGATCAGTTTGATAACTTAGACAAGCATACCCAATGGGGCATTGACTTCCTGGAGAGATATGCAAAATTTGTGAAAGAAAGGATAGAGATTGAACAAAACTATGCAAAACAATTGAGGTAAGTTGTTGTTTCTATAAAGAAAAAAATCCTATTCAGCAACAGTTGCTTTGAATTATGTTATCAGTTAGCAGATGAATATGTATGGTTCTGTGGCTCAAGGTCTGTTTTTTATTCATCATATGAATTAAATCATAGTTGCTTTTTACAACACACAAACTTTTCTCATCTTCAGTGTTTGAGTGCGGAGTACAGCCATTTTTTCCTAAATCTTTGAACTGGAAAGATGGATTCAATGGCATCTTGGTACTATTTTGCAAAAACCACTGATACGTCTTGACTGGTTATTATCTTTCTTTAAAAAAAAAAAAAATTCATAATGTTAGCTAGATCACTTCTTTATTCTCTGTTCAACAAAGTGTAGCAGCAGAAGGGTGAAATAGTCAGTCTTCTCAGAGCTTTGCTGCTTTGTGTTAGAATTTTGACTGCTATTATAGACCTTGAAAGTCTTTATCTTTGGAGGTCCTTTTCCAGTCCCCTGAATACACGTCTTTCAAGTGCCTGGTCTGTCTCTCCAGTGTGTTTTGGGATAAGAGCCCACAGGCCGCTTGAGTCCTTAATATCCTCAAGTGTTTTCTCTTGGGAACCTGTAGACCAGTGGTTCTCAAACACTTTTTTTCGTGGACCACTTGAAAATTGCTGAGGGTCTTGGCGAACCACTTAATAAGCTTTTGTTCTATAAATCAAAGCACACAACTCATATTTTAATATCAGTAGTCTTACCTTACAAGTACAGATATTTTCGATTGTTCCGCAACCTTTCTGCAGACCCCCCTGAATGGAGCTTGCGGACCAGAGTTTGAGAACCTCTGCTGTAGACTGTTAATAGCTTGCTGTGATTACAGATACAGTGGGCGCATCTACATGTTCATTTAACGTGCAGTAGTACTACGTATTTAATTTAGTACTTGCTTAATGAAGCACTAACTAAATGCGCAGTAACTACAGTTACTGAGCAGTAATGCCGGCACATGGTTTTTTAGTGATGCTTACTGCACAGTAGCATATTAGCATGGTTTTTGCCCGGCATGCTACTGTGCAGTGTTATTAGGCTACCACACATTAAGCGTCTTGTGTAGACATGCCCAGTTTCTCCAAAGCTAGTGGCCTTTATCTTGCTAACAAGTGTACAGCAACGGATATGAGAGACCCCTGTGTATATATACTTTCTGAGCTATGCTTGCCTCTCCTGTCAAGCCCTGGGCAGAAGTGCCTTAGCCATGAAGATGGACCCTGTTCCCTTAGGGACCAGTTCCAGCTTGCTCGCTGCAACCTCTACATCATAGCCTGTCAGTCTGCACTTACTGACAACTTCCTCCTCCCTCCCTAAAAAGCTAATTTATTGATTTACCTCTTCC